CGCCGCGGACGCAGACGCCAGGTCACGAGGGTCCACGAAGGTGACATGCGCCTCCACTGGCCCGGTGTAAGGACGGCCGTCGGGGTGACGGAAGGTTCCGGGAGGCAGGATCAGTTCGCCTAGCGCTGGTGTCGCCTCCTCCTCCGTCCCACCCAGCGGGATTGCACCGCCGTGCTCTGCGTCCAGCAGCACTGCAGCTGCCTTGCGCAGTGCATGGACCTCGTGGTACACGCCGGCGCCGCGGGGGTCGAAGGGCAGCACGCGGACGCTGTCCACGAACTCACCCATCGGGTCCACAAAGGTCACCACGAGGCGGTCAGTGGCCGGCGGTACCTCGATGGTGAAGTCGCCCTGATAAGAGGTGAAGCCGATGGGTTTGCGGCCCAGCAGTATGCTGGCGAAGCGCAGGGGTTCCCTCGAGTCCGCAGCCACCACGCGGCCCCTCACCAGCCCTAGACGGGGCAGACACTTGCGACAGCCACACTCAGCCACCACCTTAACCGGGAGCACGTAGCCAGAGCAGCGGATGTCCCTACTCTCCAGGCGCAGCACTGAGCAGCAGCGAAAGCCCGTGTCCCCACAGCGAGGCCCGGAGCCCACGGGGCCCGGGCAGCGCGTGTCCGGGCACAGGCCCACGTCTAGGTACGCGGGGCCGCCGCCCAGCTTGCTACAGTCGTCCGGAAGCTTGATCAAGTATTCCTGAGGTCGGGGGTCGCAGGCCGGCTGGCCGGGAGCTGAGGAGTCCATACAACCAGGTCAAGGGAGGGGTCCTGAGCCTGGGGGTGAGGGCTGGGCTCAGGTAGGGCGGGGCCAGGTGGCTCACCGAGCACTGTGAGCTGGGCGGTGCGGGAGCGCACAGCGCCAGCCTCATTCCATGCCTTGCAGTGGTACTCCCCTGCCTGGTGCATGCGAAGCCCCTGGAACTCCAGGTGTGACCCAGACCCATACTGGTGCCAGTCCAGCAGGGTCCCGTTGTGGAACCTGAATAAGGCAGTGGGTAAGGACCTTAGGGGAGGGTGGGCAGACTACCTCTGTCAGTAGGACTGGAAGGTGGATTCCTGGAGCTCAGCCTTTTCCCTGTACCTCTCTGCACTCTGAACAAAGTGGAAATTGAGGTGGACATTCTCTCCTAGAGATTCTTGTTTTGTTGAGACACTGCTGTGTACCCCAGAATGACTTTGAATTCTTGATCTCTAAAGGTGTGCCAGACCTGCTTTGTTTTTCCTTCTTCAGAGACATGGTCCCACCACTATGAAGCCCACACTACTGCAAACTACAACAATCATCCTGCCTCAGAGCTGGGATCATGTGTTCATCACCGAACCTTATGTTTTAGAGGTACTACAGGTTTACAGGAACCCCCACCAACCCAAAGCTGGCCCAGCTCCCTGAGTTTGTGTAGACACTCACCAGGAATATTTCTTAGGCATGGGGGTCCCCGAAGCCTTGCAGCAGAAGGTCACATTCTGACCTGCCTCTCGAACTCGAGACTCAGGGTGCTTTACCAGGTATGGCTTCCCTGAGGGGATAGGAGTTGGACAAGGTCATGACCCTGCTATACCCCAAAGACCCCTTTTTTTCTCTCCTATTCTCTTAGGGACAGCTAGTACTGTCAACAAGTGAGTCATATCTTGGTTTTTCCCCCTTGGCCTGGAAGTGGGCCTTCCCTGTCACTCACCCCCATGTTCTTGGCAGCAAGGACACTCACCTAACTCTTTAAGGATGATGGTGACCACGGCTGAGTTGGAGCTATTGGCATGGGCCTGGCCTGTACCAGTGGAGAAGCCATCCATCTGAGCACTGACATTGGCCTGGCTGCCAGCACAGACTCCAGGCACCAGGAAGGTTCCATGGGTGTCACTGGTGGCTACTGTGCCAGGTCGGGCTTGAAGGAAGACCCTAGCTCCTGGCAGTGGTCGCCCAGATGGGGTGACCACTGAGCCCAAGAGGATGTGGTCAGGGCACCTGCAGGTGTCAGAGCTGCACCCTGAGGGAACATGGGGTGGCAAGGACAGAGAACTCTTGGGGAGAGCCTTGTACTCAATCAACAAACATATGTAAACCCCCTCCCCCAACCAGTTCCCCTCAGCTTCAGTGTGGCTGGACTGGAGTGAATCTGGAGACAGGGATGAGTGGGCACAGTTGGACCAGGGGTGAAACTCCAAGGAGGGGACCCAAGAAGCTGATTCACAAGATGGTAAGCATTCATCCACAGGAACACCTAGGCAGGCGCTGGTAGGGAGGGGCTGTCATGCAGTTCGGTCTCACTTCCAATGCTGCTGCCTCTCCACAAAATGGAAAATTACAGTGGAAACTTCAGGGCAGAGGTGCCGGGTGGGGTGCCCACCATCAGCAACCTTGTGCCCCCACCCTATGAGGCCCGAGTGGAATTTCCAGTCCCTCTTGGCTGGCCCTGGGCAGTCGTGTCTGCGTGGGCGAGCAGGACAGAGACTGAATGCTGCATGTGTGCACTCAGAAGGCTTCTGTCTGCACACAGGGCTGTGTGTATACTAGGGGAAATGATTCCTCAAGTCTGCCCGTGCCTGCCTGGTATCCAACAACCTTTGTGTAGTCTCTTTGCCTTGAACATAGGAGTCTATGCCCAGTAAAATTGCTATCGATTGTGTGCAGTCACGACCCAATCAGGCAAAGGAGGGAAGGGGTTGCCAATATTGTACCCTTATAGGCTCTGATCTGTATGTATCCCAAGCTCCTCCCTGACCTCTTGGCTTCTCCTTATGCAAGCCCCACCTCTGACTGTCCCCTCTTCAGGCTCCATCCCTCACCTGGGCACCTGGACCTCACGCACTTCTGCACCTCCTGGGGATTACCAGGACACGTGTCCCCAGACGAGCTTTGACAGCTGCGGCTGCGCAGGCGACTGCCTGGCCCGCAGCTCTTGGAGCAGAGACCCCACGCGCCCCATGCGCCCCATGCGGCCTCTGCGGAGCAAGGAAGGAGAAGATACTGAGCTGCCCACCACCCGCAGCGGGCTCTCTGGATTATGCGGGTCCGTCCTCCCCTCCCCACTCCCTCCTGTTACAGGCCTGCCGGTTTCCAGCTCCCTGCTAGGTGCTCTCCTAATTAGCCCAGCTGTTCCCCATTAGTCTTGAACACGATGGGGGTTCAAGCCATCCTCCAGCTGTTCAAGATGGGCAGATGGGGTCCTGGCTTTCTGGTGCGCTACGTACCACCTGGGCCCAGTTCTTCCACTCAAATCAGTGCCAGCAGGTGATGGGTGTGTCTCATCGAAGCCACGCCCATGGTCCCACCCAGGCCTTGCTTTCACTAAGCCTTACTCCCCAGGGTCACACTTTCTGTGGTCCAGCTCTTACCTAGTGGGCAGCGGAAGCGCACGTGGTAGTTGGAGCAGCGGCGGCCTCGCGGCTGCTCCCGATTGAGACACCAGAAGCCGCGTGCTGGGTTGGCGTGCACCCGCTCGCCCACAGAGGCCGGTAGCGCCCAGTCTGTGGTGCGCGCCTCCAGAGCCAGCGGCCGTGGGCACACGCGCGCGGGACCGTAGTAGAAGCGGATGGCGGCTAGGCTCTCGAAGTCGCCATCTCCTCCCGGGTGGTCCACGTTGAACCACGACGTCCACTCGCTGACCTCTGCGGGCACCGCGTACTGAGCCCAGGACCCCCACCTCCCGCCAGTCCCTCCAGCTTGGGGCCCTGGGGTCAGGGCTTCCAGGAGCTGCGATGTCCAAGGACTTTTCACTCTTCCCATCCTCCCCATAAATCCACCAGTCTCAGGTTACACCGCCCGTTGAAGAGGCGACTCACCCTCCCAGTCCTCCAGGGCTGGCGAGGGCTGGCCAGGGGCTGGCAGCCATCTTAGAAGACCCCTGGCAGCTGTGGTGCTCTCCTCGGTAGAGGTGGCGTCTGTAGGAGTGCGAGGAGGCACAAGATAGGGGCCGCTGAGACCCCCTTCTGGTGCAACAGGGGGACATGACCACTGCATTTCACGGGTTAAGAAACAGCTCTAGCCCTGGGGACTGCGACGCTATCCCCTCGGCTGCTAGTCCCATTACTAGCAGTGGACCCTGAAGCATTGTGCCTCTCCACGGGTTGGGTGACTGCCCTGCTCTGTGCAAGTTTAATCGCGTGCATTCGGCAGTGCCTTTGCCCTCGGACTTCTGCGTGAGAGTCCCTCCTCCTCTACTATCCCAGGTCTTTCTAGGTGGGGCTCAGGGTACCAACAGAAAAGTCCTTGGCTTCTCTGGCCTCCAGCTCTAGAAGGAGTGATAGGTTCAGGCGAAGTCCTCCTTTCTGAATCACCTGCCCCGCGGAGGGACAGCTCCGCTAGGTTTGGACACCTAGTGGTTTAGGATTCAAAGCTTTGCCCTGGTGCTGTATCCAGAGGAAGGAAGAGGTCTCTTTCTGCTACTCTCTACGAAGCTCGTGAGATGCCCCCACCCCCTTTTCAGTGTGCTTGGCGACCAGACTCGGGGTCCCGCGGCATCTCACCTCGTGCTCCCGCTAGGTGCGCCGCTGCGATACAGAGACAGAGCAAGGGCAGCGGTGATGCCATCGCCAGGTCGCAGCTGCTCAACGACGCGCTCGGATCAGACTGGGGCGAGTCTGGCGGCTGCTAGGCACTGGTGGGGGCGGGACACAACCGCAAGCCACACCCCTGTAAGCCTTTCTTCCATTCCTCGGTGCCTCCGCCCTCAGACTGCGTTCCTCCTCAACCCCTCAACCTTCTCCAACTGGGTCCTGCGCCGCGTCAGACGCGCCGTTTAATTCTTAAACTTGAAGTTACTGGGCGCTTCGGCAGCTAGTTCTCTATCGCCGTTTAGTATACGTTGGTCTTAAGCACTCTTGGTCACTCCGGACAGCCTGGAAATACCACCCTGGTCTACCCTGTAGTCTAGGAAGCTCCACTACGCAAGCCCCAAGGGACGTTCCTTCTCCAACCCCCCCCCCCCAGTCTGGCGAACATAGGAGGCGAAGGGAGAGGTGGTGAAGATGTTTATTGGGGTGGGGTCCAGGGCGCGCGTGTTACACTGCGGCCACGCAGTCGGTGCCGGCATATTTTGGCAGGCGCAGGCCAAACTTGCGGCGGACATCTTCAGGCACGAACCTGCCGGCCACAAAGTGGTGGCGCCCGGAGAAGCGGCCGGCGCAGCTCTTGGGCGCCGCGAAGGACACTAGCACGTCGGGCTTTACGGCGTCCTCGGAATCGCCGCCAGCTTCGGTGTCCCAGCCTGAGGGTGGAGGAGGGGGAGCTGAGAGGACCGCGGCTCCCGGATCGGGTCTGCCCCGCCTCCCTCCAGGTCCGTGGGTAGTGGTGAGACCTGCTGACGGCAGAACCGCCTCCACCCTCAGATTACACAGTGTCCTCCACCCACCTGACGAGACCCAGCCTCTGCCTCCTGAGTCGACCCTGGGACAAGCACCCGGGACTCCTCTACTGCCTTGGGCGCTAGCCGGAAGCCCCTGCTCCTCTCTCTGACAAGAGGCTTCCAACTTTAGGGTCTCTTTTTCATGGTCCACCTGAAGTCTGCCCCCCCCCCCACACACACACACTAGATGTGCCTTGGCCTTGATCTGGGATAGTCCTGGGGCCCTCTAGCTGGGGACACTTCTACGAAGCCCCTAAAGAGGGCTGGAAGCTGTCTCTGGTAGGCATGGCCTCTGAGTGAGCTCATGCCTGCCCAGGGCCAGCGGTGGGCGGTGCAGGTTTAACTGGGCACCCGGACCAAGAGGACCCTGGGTCACTTGAGGCAACCACTTGTAACTTCCCCATCCTTAGGATGGATGCCAAACAGGATGAGAGCAGACATGGAAACTGAGGTTGAAAGAGTTGGATGAGGAAAACCAAGGCTTGGGGAGGGGGCATGCCAACAAAGGACACTGAGGCTGGAAGAGATAGATGGGGGAAACATGCTGGAGTGATCAGGCTGCCCCTGGGTGGCGTGCCTGAGGGAACGTCCAGGCTCACGAGCGGGATGGAGAGCCGCTTCAGTGTGGCCAGCGCGCGTGCGCAGGGTCCGCCGGCCGGAGGTCGCACTCCAGGGCCAAGCACAGCGTCTACCACCAGACCATACGCGTCATCGATGAGCCGAACCTGTGTGATGATCCGTGTCAGGGGCCGGGATCCCAGACACGCCAGGGCGGGGTCAGGGTGGGCGCAGCTGACCTCGGCGGGCAGGAAGGACAGGAAGGGGATGTCCATCTTCTCGCACTGCGTGGTCAGGTCGCGTTGTAGCGCGTCAGCCGAACGTGCAGGGCAGAAGATGCTGGGCTGGTAATCCTGGAGGAACCCGGGTCTGGTGATGCTGGCAACGAGAGCCCGCCCCAGCTCCTGTCCCCAGCGGAATCACAGCCCCAGCTCTGTTCCCCACCATAGGGACCCTGTTACTCACGAACACCCGCAGGTGCCGGGCACATGCCAGCCCCACAGCGCCATTCTGCTCCGGGCCGCACACGACCAGAATTGTCCTCTCCTTGCGCGACAGCGAGGACAAAGGGAATGCCTGAGACACAGCACAACAGGATGGCTCCATGTTTGTGTGTGGATGGGAGGCGGGGGAGAACTGAGGCAGAGGGACGAAGAAGTGGTCTTCGAGCAGGGCAGGTTTGACTCTGTCCATACAAACTGAGAACCCGACCTCTGTGCCCAGGCCCAATGCGGTTTGTTTACTCCATGCACACTTCGGACACATCCCCACTTAATTACACAGGTACCCCCAATTTACAGTGAAAAGTGGATGATCCCGGAGGGAGGTCTGCAACTGGGCAAGCATTGTGCCTAGACCATCTGTCTGCCTTTACCCTTCTCTATTTCCTATCTGTTGCCTTGTATTTCAGAACATCAGTCTGCACAGGGTTTCTTGTTGTTATTGTTTGAGAGGTTCTCGATCAGGCTGGTCTTGAACTTACACCAATCCTCCTGCCTCAGGCCTCCAGCAGCCGAGTTGGCAGTTGTGAGGCACTATGAGGGCAGTCTGGGCTACAGAAGAGGGCCAGTGAGCGTGCTCAGCAGATAAAGGAAGGACCCGAGTTTTTTTTCTGGAATATTAGCCACATGCTCGTGCTCACACGATTTGGCAAGGGGCAAAAATAAATGTAATTAGATTTTTTTTTTTTAAAGAAAGAGTCGAGACACAGGTGGAGTGAGGACATGCTCTTTCTTGGGCTTCTGCATTTATAACTGAATTGTCCCAGGCTCAGTGGGCCTCACAGCCAGCACCTCTTGGAGGCACTTCTGTGGTGAAGGTTAAGTCTTCACCACACTACCCATCTCTGGACCTTCTTCCTCATGAGGGCATTTAGGGCTATTCAGATAGCTGTCAGGTAGGCCACACTTCTAAGGGACCCAGGCCTGCACTTCAATGGTCCAAGCCCTATCCTGTAAGTGTTCCCGTGCCCCATCCGAATCTCTGGGACCCCACTTTTGCCTTGTCTGGCAGTGAGCCTGAAAAGGAAACCTTATGCTTTAGTTTCCCTACCCGAGCAATGGGTTGAAGTAGCCTCGAGCAAAGGGGGCTGGTACCTTGGTCACAGCCACGGCACTGGCATGCCCATATAGCTCCACCAGCTGCTGCTGCCCAAAGCGGTATTCGTCCAGCAGCTCCCGCTCCAAGGCAGTCGCCTCCGAGGTGCTGCGGGCAGAGTCGGGCAACACGCTCAGAGGTGCAGAATGGGGTCGGAGACTCGAGGATGGCTCTGGCCTCCTCCTTACCCACCAGGAGCTTCAGTGGCCCTGAGCTGCGTGACATCATCTCTTGCCCAGTTTCCCCACCCCACAAGCTTGCTTTGAAATGGCAGCCTGAGGTGTGCGCGCCCTCTGGTGGTTAAAGATACACGTCACTCAACGGTGTTTTTGTTTTCCCAAAGCTGAGCGACCCAGACATCAAATGATTCTGAAAGCAGACTGATTCTCCCAGCCACATCGAACTCCTAATTCTTCTCCCTCAGATTCATATCCCAAACCTTAAGAATTTGATGGGAAGTGAGATGATTTCTGTCACAGGGATTAATGAGGGTCTAGGGCACCAGAGGGGATAGGGAGTGGGGCTTGTGCAGAATTTAGCAGCTTATTCGGGAAAAATGGAAATAGGACCTTCAACCATGAAATCCTTCACAGACCATCTCAAGGACAATGAAATTAAGATATCTGAGCATTGCTTTGTAGCCCATGTCTTTAATTCCAGCACGTAGAGGCTGGATCTGTCTGAGTTTAAGGCCAGCCTGGTCTACATAGCACATTTCAGGCCAGACAAGGATGAGACTATCCTTGTTTTTTGTTTTGTTTTGTTTTCCTGAGATAGGGTTTCTCTGTGTAGTCCTGGCTACCCTGTAACTCGCTCTGTAGACCAGGCTGGCCCTGAACTCACAGAGATCCACCAGCCTCTGCCTCCTGAGTGCTGGGATTAAAGGCATGTTTCATCACTGATGGACATGAGGTCCCATCTTAAAAAAGAAAATTAAGATTATGTGGCCAGAGAGAGTGGCTGCTGGGCCAAATGGCTTTACCACTACATGGTTGAGGATTGTCTCCAGCTACCTCTAACAGAACTGAAGCAAGTATAGATTACATAATTCATGAGTCTGTGTTTAAAAGTCATTAGCAATTTAATGTTGCATGTGTGAACACCTGCCAAGCATGTGTCAGGTTCTGAGTTCCACACCTAGCACTGGGGAAAAGAATTTTTAGAAAACAAAGACAAGTTCTAACCATGTCGGAGCATGCAACAGGGCAGAGGCTGGGGGCCTCCGCTTGCTTGGGGGGGGGGGGAGCAGGTGAGCTGGCAAAACAGACACTGCCCTAGAGAACCAGGGCTGGTGTAGGACAAGGTCTGCATTGTGTCAACTGCCCTCTTCTCTGCTTTTCCAGCTGTGAACTGAGGAGCAGATGCCTACTGGCCAGCAGTCACTGCCATGGCAGGACCATCAGGAAGGGAGGTGCACCAAGGAAAATAAAAGCAGGATGTGAGAGCCTGAAGAGGTCTGGATGTGTGGGGAGCATGACAGGCAGGGTTCATGCCTTTAATCCCAACACTTTGAGGCAGAGGCCAGCCTGGTCTACAGAGTGAGAGCTTCAGGACAGCCTGGGCAACATGGAGAGAACCCCCCCCCCCACACACACACAAAGGAAACAAAGCTGGAGCTGGAAAGATGGCTCAGTTGTTAGTTAAGAGCACTGGCTCCTCTTCTAGAGGACCTGGGTTCAATTCCCAGCACCCATATGGCAGCTCATAATTGTAACTCCCAGGGGATCTGACACCTTCACACCAAAGCACATAAAATAAATTTAAATAAATTATTTAAAAATCTAAAAAAAAAAAAAAGAACGAACTGTAAGACACTGCAGCCAATAGAACAGGAGCTCAGGGGTACAGCAGCCCTGAAAGGAGGTTGTGGTGCTGTGGCTACATAAAGGCAGCTTGAGCAATCTGCCCAGGTTCTGGGGCAGCATAACCAGCATGCACTCAGTAAGGGTGCAAGGCCCCAACTCGGTAGCACATACTTGAATCCCAGCACTTGGAGGGTGAGACAGGACAGTCTCAAAACCAAGCCTGTGGGGCTGAGAGGTGGCTCAGTGGTTAAAAGCCAGTACTGTCAGTACAACCCCTGAAAGGGCTGAGCTCAACTTCCAGCACCCACACTAGGCAGTTCCTCTAACTCCAGTTCCAGGGGATCCAGTGTCTTTTACCTCCATAGGCACCTGCATGCCTCACATTGGTAAACTGCTTCCCTTGCAAGCATAACCTTAATTCCCAGAACCCAAGGAAAAACAAAAACAAAACCTAGCTGGGTGCAGTAGGTATGCTTGTGACCCAACTGCTGGTGTAGTACAAACAGGAAGGTGTATGGAACTGACTGGCCAACCAGTCTAGAAATTAGCCAACTTTAGGTTCAGTGAGGTTCTGTGTCCAAAAACTGAGATAGAGAAAGAAAGGATGACACTAGATATGGACCTCTGGTTGCCATTGGCAACCATTGGCTGGGTGTCTCTGCAGGGGCGGTAGTGGGCAATCACAGGGAGCAACTCGACCGGCTAACCCTGGTGGACAGAGCTCATAGGACCAGTAGGGAAGCCTTTATGCTGTTTGGAGGCTGTTATGGGGGAGGTCTGCACCCCACCCTTCCAATTCCAATGCTGCTCCTAGAACAGGGACAACAAGGGCAGTTTCTTTCAGGCCGAGTGTTGAGGTGTGAAAAGGGAACTAGGCCTGACAACCCCAAATCACTTCTAGATGGGCAAGGCACCCTCCAGCCAGGGCATCCTAGGTGGTCTCCCCAACACCTCTCCCCATCACTGCTGCTCACTTGGTTGCCTGCACACATGATCTCTGTGCCCTGAATAAAGGCAGCATCATTACCCCCACCCTGAGCCTTCTTGCCTTCTAGTGGCAGCCTCTGTGTGAGTCCAAGTCCCTCAGGACACCTCAGTGAGGGGAACTGTGAGGACTGGCTTGCCTGGAATGCAGTTTCCCTGGCAACTTGGCTCCTGCTATACCTGAAAGCTCCCAGCAGACCCTAAGGCTCACCCCAGTTATTCCCTGCCTCTAGCCTGGCCCCCCTGTCACCTGCTGACCTGAGAAAGCGCCTCTCCTCTGATGCCTCTCCCAGGCTCTTGTTGACCGATACACTGCCGCTCATGGTCACACAGGCAAGCTGGCTCTGCACTGCCTTTTAAGCAAGCCCCGTGGGCGGAACCCTATGATTGAGTGCCTGCTAATTAGGGGCCTCCAGGAGGCGCTGCACACAGCTATTGGCCAAAGCACAGGATGATTTAACCCATGGTGTGCCCGGGCAGCAGACTGGTATATACAGGGATCCACAACAGAGTCACATGATGGCATTTATTTGACTATTCTTTATTGTGTGTATCGGCTCGGGACCTACGTATACCAGGTGAAGCCGAAGTTGGCGTTGTGCATTTCCTCCTTGGAGCGTAGCCCATACAACTCGGCGGGGAGAGGCGGCACCCAGCGAGTGGTGTGGAACACAGACTCGCCGACCTGAGGGTAGGGGCAGGGTCAGTCCTCATCATTTCCCGCAGCCGTCCCCCCCCACCCCTCCCCACCCCCGCCGCCTCCCAGACTCACCTTCCAGTCAGGCACATCTTTCATGATGATGGCCTCCTCCTCCAGGTTCTCTCGAAGAATCTGCAGGGTCCTGTGGCCACAGGGTGGGGCTGAGAGCAGACCTATCCAGGGCTCTGCTCTCAGCCTGACCTACCTCCTCCCACCCTGACCTACCTTCGGTCCTTCTCTGCCTGGAACAGTGGCATGAGAGCAATCCGGGCTTCCAAATCCTCGATCTGCAGGCGCCTGTGAAACCCGACAACCACCCGGGGTCAAATACGGCCACTGAGAGAGTGTGGGACACAGCCATGACAGGGCCACAGGGTGCTGTTGGGAAGGGGGCGAGGCTGGCCATCCGATTTGGAACAGGAAGGCAAGTCTGCAGCTGGCACAGGCTACAGCAGCTACAAAAGTGTTGGTTTCACACTTTCCTTTCAAGTTTTTTGTTGTTGTTGTTTTAATTCTAAAAATAGCCCTGTCTGATGATCTGGGTGGAGAGGGGGGCACACTCATCACCAGGCTCTGGGCCTTACAAAACCAATTTCCCTTTGTTCTCAAAATAGCAGGGTGCTGGGTCTGCAGGTCTTCCTGAAACTATTACCCTACAGGAGGCGGGAACCTCTCAACTTCAGGAGCTGGGAAACAGAACCCAGTGATGTGGTCAGGAAGAGGCCTCTGGTGGGGTTCTTTTTCTAGTGACACCCCCACTTATGACACTCATGGTCCTAGTCTCTCTGGCCTCCAGGGAACCTGCCTCCCATGGCCTGGTTCCTTTTTTGTTGAGGTTTCACTGTGTGGCCCTGGCTGGTCTGGAACTCATAGAGCTCTACCTGCCTCCATGTCCCAAAGCCCCAATTGTATCTGGCCTCATGACCACACACAGTACCAGCTGGGAGACCCCAAGTCCCAGGGGCCTTACTATTTACGCTAACCTAGCCTAGGAACAGTTGAAGGCCTGATCACCAACCCTTTACTTTAGGATAGGAAGTGAGGGGTAGGATTCACACTTCCTGGCCCTGGACAACCAGCCAGCCACTTCACCCTCACAGAACTTTTGTGGTGAGCAGGAACCTACCTGCGCTCACGGTTCCACTTCATTATTCTCCAGTAGCCAAAGAGCAAGGTCCCGATGCCCACAGCAAACATGCTGTAGCCTGCAAGAGAAGTGAGGCTTCCTTCTCAGCATGGGCCCTCAGGACTCCACCCAGCAATACTGGGCTCTCTGTGAAGTGTCTGCTGACTCTTTCTCCTCCACAGGTAGCCTGTCCTTTTTCAGCCACTTCACCGGAACAATCCTTGACATTCCTGTTCTGTGTCAAGATATTAGGCAGTACGGGCTGCCAAACTTTCTGGAAGGTACAGGCCAGCAGGAGCACAGGAGAGCCCAGGGTCTAGAACAGGGCTTCTCACCAATGGGTTGTGACTCCTTTGGAGTTCAAACGACCTTTTCATAGGGCCACGTATCAGATATCACACATATCAGATATTACATTACACTTCATAACAGCAGCAAAACTAGTTATGAAGTAGCAATGAAAATAATTCCATAGGTTGGGGTCACCACAACATGAGGAACTGTATTTTTAAGATCTTTTTTAAGATTTATTTATCGTGTATAGTGTTCTGTCTGCATGTACACCTGCACGCTAGAAGAGGGCACCAGATCTCATTACAGATGGCTGGGAACTGTATTTCTTATGTTGTTATTGTTGTTTTTCGAGACAGGGTTTCTCTATGTACCCCGGCTGTCCTGGAACTCACAGAAACCCACCTGTGTCTACTTCCTGAGTGTTGGGATTAAAGGCTGGAGCCATCACTGCACACTGAGGAGCTGTATTAAAAGGTTGTAGCATTAGGAAGGTTAACCACTGGGCTAGTCAGGTGGTGGTGGCGCACACCTTTAGTCCCAGCACTTGGGAGGCAGAGGCAGGCGGATGTCTGTGAGCTGGAGACCAGTCTGGTCTATAGAGTGAATTCCAGGAAAGGCTCCAAAGCCACAGAGAAACCCTGTCTTGGAAAAAGTAAAAACCAAAACAAAAAGAACCACTGTGCTAGAAGGACTGAGGTGCCAAGTGTAGTGTCACATGCCTTTAATCCCAGCACTCATAGCAGAGGCAGACAGATCCCTATGAGGTAGAGGCCAGCCTGGTCTACAGAGGTCTAAGACAACCAGGGCTACACAGAAAAACCCTGTCTTGGGGGAGGGGAGGATAAAACAACAAGAACAGATGGACAGATGGCAAAGACCTGGGCCCCACCACAAAGTATGGCTCTGACAGCACTGCCAGAAGCTGGAAGCCCCCAGGGGCCCAAACAGCCAGCTCCTGACTCCAGGGGTGGTGTGGGTGCCATCAGTCTAGCAGGGTAGGCCACCTGCCCTATGCCCAGGAGAGATAGGGGGCCACCATAAATAATTACTGAAGACCAGCAGGGACAGCTCCAATCCTGACTGGCAGGACAAGCTCCAGGGCTTATCTACCAATGACTAGAGAGGGTATGGAGAAGGCTGGGCCACAGGGGGCCAGAACAGGTTCTGGGGTGCAGCCTGACTGGACCCTCAGCTACTCAGTTTAGACTTTCAGGTTCATGCTCAGAGGACAAACTCTCCAGTCATGGACACTAGGGTGGCTAGGGAAGCCCTAGATGTTCAAGACCATCTCTGGCCAGCTGACTACAGTCCTCACCCAAATGGGGAGACATCTGCACCAATGCTGCACCCTCATTTTCAACATCTATAAGGACCATAGGGACCTCATCTTCAGCCCCAGAGTCTGACCAGAGGTGTTCCCCATAATTTCTCAGAAGAACAAAAGGCCCTTGTGGTGGACACAGTTCAACACTGAGATGGCCTGTATTTCAGGAGGTGCCATGAGGGACAGCAGGACCCACACCTTCCCCTTCAGTCCCCCAAGTAGCTGAAGCTGTAGGAGGCATTGTCACCCTGTGTCACTGGAGTGGCAATTCTCCCCAACAGTGTGCAGACCAAACAGTCACCATCACGGCCCTGACCCCTCCCCCCCCCTTGCAGAAACCCATAGTCAGGTCATGAGATTCATGTGCAAGACCCAGGACAGCAAGGGCTACTTTCAGGAAACATGACAACCAAACGCATCAGGCAGCTGTGCATGCACAAAGACATGCTAGCATGAGGGCAGTCACACTGGCCAGCAGGACAGAGCCAATCCGCAAATAAACCCTCAAATTTTATGGCCAATTGGCTTTGGACAAATATGCCACAATAATTTAATGGGGGAGAGGAGCCCTCTCAGGACTGGACCACTGGCCACACAGATGCACAGTGCCCCTGCTCACCTGGAGAAGGAACTCAATTCCCAGTGAATGGAGGCCTGAAGGTAAAAGCTAGAGCTAGGGAAGTCTGGGGGCTGAGCTCTATAGGCAGAATGTTTGCCTGCCTAACATGCTGAACTCCTGGATTCCATCCCTAACAGCATGAGCCAGGAGTGGTGGTGCATGTCTATGATCCCACCATTTGGGAAGTAGAGGGACAATAATCAAGAGTTCAAAGTTACCCATAGCTATATAGGGACTTTAGGGCCAGCTGAAGCCACACCAGAACCCATCTCACAAAAAAAAAAAAAAGCCCAGCAACAACAAAAACAAAAACAAAAACAAAAAAAAAAAACAGGCTAGAAGTGATATCAAAAACCCCTGAGGCAGGTATATCTCTGTGAGTTAGAGGCCAACTTTTCTACATAGAGTTCTAGGCCATCGAGGATAACAGTGAGACTCTATATCCCTATATAATAAATAAATAAATAAATAAATAAATAAATAAATAAATAAAATTAAAAGAAAGAAGGAGGGAAGGGCCAGGCGGTGGTGGCTCACACCTTTAACTCCAGCACTCAGGAGACAGAGGCAGGTGGATCTCTGTAAGTTTCAGGCTAGTCCTGTTGTTTCCAGGCCAGCCAGGGCTACAGGAAAACCCTGTCTTGAAAAACCAAAAGAAAAGAGAAGAGGCCAAGTGCCTGACGCAATGTTATAATGCCAGTGCTCAGGAGGTGGGGTGAGAGGGCTACTGTTTGCAGCTTCCCTGGTTTACAGCAAGTTCCAGGCCAGCCAGGGCTATGCAGTGAGACCCTGGTTCAAAGATGTGCACAGCATGGTGCCCACAACCCCCCCCCCCCAAGGAAAAAAACCCTGTGAATATATAAATCTACTCTAGAAGAACACAAATAGGGCTTCCTTAAGTAAGAGAAACTGTTTTTGTAAATGACACTATTAGTTGAGCAGGCCAGCAAAGGCTACACAGTCAGACCCTGTCTCTAAATAAATAAATCTTAAAACCAAAACAACAAAACAAACAAAAAAGGTGCAGAGCAATAAAGTCCAGCATGGCTGTCAGGATCTGAAGGGGAAAGCACATGGTGATTTCCAAACAGAAGAAAATGCTGGGCAGGTGGCTCAGTGGGTAGAGTGCACAAGCGCTGGGCTCCACAGCCAGCACCACAGAAACCAAGCTAAGTAACACACAGTCATCCCAGCACTCAGGAGGTGGGAACAGGGTCAGCCCAGGATTATACTTAGCTACAAAGAGAATTCAAGGGCTAC